ATCATGGTTGCAAGGAATGTCTGAGCTTCTGAGATCCAGTCTTGACATACAGTTCTGAGTAAAGTTCAGCAAACATTTATAGGTCCCAGATGGGACATCTCAGTTGAATCTGGACAGAGCAATTCACTGAAGCCGCATACTGGACTCTGAAAGCCTGGGTGTGCCAGCAGGCATCCTCTTTGTGAGGACATGCTGCTCCAGTATATTGACCTTAAGATATCAACAATGATGTGGCAAAGTAAGAAAGGAATCTGGAGATGAGGGCATTCTCAGCTGGTATATCTAGTGGATCCAGCTTCCTCACGGACTCTTCATAATGGAAATTTTAAATTCATTTGAAGGCTGAGTTCTAAAAACTGACCTCCAATTTTACCTAGAAAGAGAGACCACAAAGAGAGAACAGAGTTAAGAATCATTTTCGGGAACCCTCACCCCAAAATCTATTGATAATTTTCTAAATCATATTAAACTTGACAGCAACAAGTAAAGAAAAATATATTGAATTCTTAATATGTGCTAAGTATTATCCTAATATTTATCATCAAATTCTCAAATGTCTGTAATTATCTCTGTTTCACAGGTGTGAAAACAGAGACTCAGAACATTTTCAAAACATTGCAGGTAGTATATGTAGGAACTATGATACAAAAGCATTCTACCTGTCTTACTACAAAGTCAATGTTTTTTCCTACTGCATCACACTATGAGCCAAGAACAGTTACCTAAACTGCTCTTGGAAAAAAAAGACATTATTAGATATAGTAGCATAACAGTGTCCCTGAATCAAGTGTTAGGTATCAGCTCTCAGTTGAGTTTATGAGAACCCCCAAAGTAAGGGTTCCTAAGAGTCACAGCATATAGATCATGTTTAGTTCTTATGATAGATAGAGACTCATTTGGATCCTATGACAAGTTTTTAATTCAAACATGACAGGAAGTAAAGCAGACTACTTTGGCTTGGAGAAGGGTCCCCCTCCTTAAATAGGATGAGACATAAAAACAAAATTCATGTGACATGCAGTGGAAAAACCAAAATCTGGAACTTTCACAGGTACAATTAAAATTTCTTTGAACACTCTAAAGTATAGTTTCTCTTTAAGGCAATCCAGTGGCCAACAGGGCACCTAAAATCAAAGAGTCTGGTAGTCCCTGAGAGCCCAGAGCCATGTAGACATGGAATGAGCAGAGGGTGATAAAATGAGTAGAATAAGACAGGAAGGAGGTCTAGACACAGAAAAACAGTGTAACTGAGTTCTGAACTCTGAACCCTATCTCTGAACTCTGCTTCATTGAACTAAATAATCTTTCAAACCCAGGCATGCAAAATTTTCTGCAGGTATCATCAAGTCAGACCTTAAAACCAGCATTTTTGTTTCTTTCCAAATGGTGCTTAGGCCTCTGTGAAATGGGGAGGGGATAATAACTGTTCTCCAAAACTGCAGCTGAAATAACCGACATATATCCACTTGTACTCTGACACTAATATCAGCTTGTTATTATACAGGGAAACTGAGGCACTGAGAAGTGAGAGAAACTTACTTAAGGACATAGACATCAAAATAACCATGACTTACTTGCACAATTCTCTGCATATACTAAAACCCGCTAAATTGTACACTTTAACCTGTCAAAGTTTATGGTATGTGTATTACATCTCGAAAAATTTGTTATTTTTTTTAAACATGACTTACTTTCTGGGCAATGTTTTTGACAGAGGAGTATTTCTGCCTTTAAAGGCCTACTAGCAGTTTCTAGCTCATTTTTATCAAAGACGATCAAGCACTTTCTATGTGTAAAACACTGTGCTAGAAGCTATGAAATATTTAGCAAAAATAAGCTTGCAATAATTATAGGCTGAGTGCAGGGGTGGGAGAATTGCTTGAGCTCAGTAGCTCAAGATCAACTGAGGCAACATAGCAAGACCTCAAATCTACAAAAAATTAAAAGCTTTGTGAGGTGTAGTGGCATGCACCTGTAGTCCCAGCTACTCGGGAGGCTGAGGCAGAAGGATCACCTGAGTCCAGGAGGTCAAGGCTGTGATGAGTTGTGAGTATGCCAGAGTAAGGCCTCAACTTAGTAATAACAATAATAATAATAACAATAATAATATATATATAGTGTTCTAAGAATTTATTATATGCCAGGCAGTACTAAGAAACTTCACACATTATCTTAAGTAATCTCCACCAGTGAGGTAGGTGTTGTTATTCTCATTCTATAAGTTGGGAAACTGAGGCTGAAAGGATTAATTGCCCATGGAATACAGGTAGTAAAAAGCCAAACTGAGATTTGAATCCAAGTCTTTCTGACTAGAAAGTCTATAATTTTATCCATTATTCTAAACAAGTGAGAAGAAGAAGAGAGACTCAAATGCAAAGAATACAAAACAGTGAATGGTGGAGTCTTGAGGGCTGGCAAACTATGGAGTGAGTTTCAAAGTTGTAAACCATAATGCTGGAATTGCAGTACAAGACTGGCTTTAGAATTCTGTCTCAGTGTGGAGTCTGAGGCCTGAAAGTCTCCTGACACTGCAGTTATCTCTAACAAAAACAAACACAATTCAAAACAATGCATACAACTGAAAACAACCATAATATCTAGGGCAAACATAACTTTCTGAGTGATTGTTGTGGTCTAGGACTCCTCGGCTATCAAGTAATGGATATAACTCATGAACAGAAGCTCATTCTACGTGCTTGGCAAGCGCTGTCTAGATGGTGAAGTGAATAAGATATCATAACTGCCCAGAAAGGTCCCATATATGTGGAATATAAGTTGTTAAGTGTTAGGCTTTAAGTGCTAGTATGGGTTTCTTTACTAGTGCTGCCACTGACTAACCATGATTTTGGGCAAATTTTTAAATTTCCTATGCTTTTAGTTCCTTATCTGTAAAATAAGGATAACGTAATACTGACCTTATAGGGTTATTGTGAAGAATAAACAGATAAATATGCAAAACTACCAAGCACTTAATGGTAACTGCTTATCTTTACCATTGTCACCACCATCATCAGAAGAACTGGTTCTCCATGCCTAATACAGCTTTTTGATGATTTCTGCTACCCTCAATTGCATTTGGTATATTTTATGTATATAAATGACATTTTTCCAAGGGCCCAGGCCCAAAGATGCCAGACTACCAGTGGATAGCAGGATGCTAAAAGAAACCCACTCTAAATTCACACTGAATACACTGACAACATTACTTTTACATATACCCCATTATACTTTTCTAGCCCAGAAAAGAGGCTTCTCAGAGCCAAAGAATGAGGTTGACAACACTCCTCATATTACACTTTCATATTATTTGCATTTGGGTGGCCCTTACACTCCTAAAACTGTGCATGCTTTTTGCATAGTAGTTATACATGATAAATACATAGAGGTAAGCTAGTATAATAGTTAAGAGCAATGGCGTTGTAATAAGGTAGACATAGGTTCAAATCCTCATTCCTCCACTTAGTAGCTATGTCCTTGGAGAAAATTCTTATGCTTTCTGAGCCTGTCCCTTCATCTGTAAAACGGGAATACATAAAATGGGACACATGAAATACATATCTCAAATAAATGTGGTAAAGATTAAGTGAGATGATAAAATCTAGTATTTGGTAGCACAATAGGGTGACTATAGTTAATAATGTATTGTATATTTTAAAATAACTAAAAATAAAACAAATATTTCTAACACAAAAAATCTTGAAGTGATAGATATCTCAATTATCCTGATTTGATTGCTACATGTTGTATGCCTATATCAAAACATCATATGTACTCCCTCATTATAGACAACTATTATGTATGTGTAATAATTTTTTTTTTTTAATTTTGAGTTGGAGTCTCACTCCGTCGTCCAGGCTGGAGTGCAGTGGCACGCTCCCAGCCACCATAGCCTCAACCTGCTGGGCTCTGGCGATCCTTCCACCTCAGCCTTCCAAGTAGCTGGAACTACAGGTGCGCGCTACCATGCCTGGCTAATTTTTTATTTATTGTAGAGACGAGGTCTCACCAAGTTACCTGGGCGGGTCTCGAACCTGTGGGCTCAGGCAATCCACTTGCCTTGGCCTTCCAAATTGCTGGGATTACAGGTTGAGCCACTGAGCCTGGCCAAAATTTTTTTTAAAGGTTAAATGAGATGATATATGAAAAGTATTTAAGACATTGTCTAGCACATAGTAAATTCTCGATAAATGCTGGCTTTTATTACTTAAAAAAAGACATGAATTAGGTGAGCCTGGTGGCTCAGGCTCATTTTCAATTAAACAAGCATTTATTTTGCACCTGCCAAGTATCTTACATTCTGCTACTTTCTGTGGGTACTAAATAAAGTGTATTACATGAGTCCTCTGAAACAAAGTTTGTGCTTTTTACATGTATATGACACTAAAAACAAGTGTCCTGCAACATGTCCTCATACTGGAAGGTGGGGCTAGTACCAGCCTTTCTGCAATCATTATGGTTGAGAATGTGAAGAAGGAGGAAGATAAACAAGTAGAGAGGTGGAGTTAGGTTTGGAAATTAATCACCCCACTTATGTATTCTGTATAGGCTATATAAAGGCTACCATCCCAATCCATCATCACCCTGCAAGCTGTATCAGGCTTTATCCTACTTGTTCCTTTGGTGAATCAGGTGAGAGAAAGTTCATTCAGCTACATTTATAAATATTTGGGGTTGTCTACAGTAGAAATCTGGGGATATGAGCTAAGGCAGAGTACATATATGTTTTGCCTTTCTTTTCTTTTTTGTTTCTATCTTTTCTTTTTGTTCGTTCATTTGTTTCATCAGTTTAGTTTATTCTGGGGTCTTTTGGGAATAAGTTTGTCTTTATGAAGAATAATACAAGTAAAAATTTGTCTTCTTCTAGGCCATTCTACACTCTCTTCCCAATCTTTTAAAATGCCATCTTTTTCCAGGCTGTCCAGCTCAAATTAAAAGAAAAGAAAATGAATGATAGTGTCTTTTGTCTTTCCTTCTCCAGGTTCACTTAAACTTACAAAAAGATGACTGACCTCTTGAGAAGTGTTGTCACTATCATTGATATTTTCTACAAGTACACCAGAGAAGATGAGGAATGTGACACACTGAGCAAGAATGAGCTAAAGGAACTTCTGGAGAAAGAGTTCCGTCCAATTCTGAAGGTGAGGACCATGTGCCAGGGCAGAAGGCTGCTGGAGTCCTGTACATGCTCTGTTATATGACCAAGATTAGCTAAAGATTGCACAGTCCCAGGGGACTTTAAGCAAACTCTATGAGTAGTATTTTTGAGAAAAACAGAAAGGCAGTTAAAGCAGCATGTATTTTAAAGAAGGTGAAGGTTTCTTCCTAACTCTCTTATGCACTCCCACCTTCTAGACTCTCAGACTTTCTGGTGCACTCAGGCTTCCCCCTTTTGAAAAAATAGAAGTAAATTTGTGCTAAAACATGAATTAACAGATTATCCTATCAAATGGGGAAAAAAGTATGGATGAAGATTTTATGTACAAGGGGAATTGACAAAATAGCCAGGATGGTTAAAAACTAGGAACAAAATACAAACTTTTTTTTTTCCATTTACTTAGGAAGGACTCAGCTATAAACATCAACATAATAGATCATGGATTCTAATATGGAATATATTAGCATGCAATGTTTAAAATTTATATAAAGCTAAGATATACCAATTACTGAACTTGGCTTATTCTACTCCTTCAGGCCATACCTAATCACTTAATCCTCTAGCTTAAATTCTTGAACCGTCTTCTTCTGAGGATCCCAATAGTCTTTATTTTCTACTAATTCTTCACATTTACTAGGTCCTACTAACCTAAAGTAATCCTCTATTGAACTAAAACTACATAATGTCAAATATCCACAATCCCATAGCCCTACTTGAATTTTTTAGTAGAGTATGTGGGTTAGGCTGATCAGGTCTCCCTTGGTGTGTCACTCATTTACAGAACCCAGATGATCCAGACACAGTGGACGTCATCATGCATATGCTGGATCGAGATCATGACCGAAGACTGGACTTTACTGAGTTTCTTTTGATGGTATTCAAGTTGGCTATGGCCTGCAACAAGGTTCTCAGCAAAGAATACTGCAAAGCTTCAGGGTCAAAGAAGCATAGGCATGGTCATCGACGCCAAAAGGAAGAAAGTGAAACAGAAGAAGAAGAAGATACACCGAGACAGAAAACAGGTTATAGACATTCAAGCTGGAGTGAGAGAGAGGAGCATGGATATAGTTCTGGGGACTCAAGGGGAAGTGCAAAACATAAACATGGGTCTAACTCCTGGAGGCTGGGAAGACAAGGTAATCTATCCAGCTCAGGGAGCCAAGAAGGATCTGAGAAAGGGTACCGTGGGTCTAGCTCTGATCACTCATGGAGTAGTGGCAAAGAGAGACATGATTCCAACTCTGGAGAACTGGGGGAAGGAAGAAACGAGTCACATGTTAGCCCATCTAGAGAATCTGGGGAGGAATATGAATCTGGGTCTGAATCAAAGAGTTGGGGAAGGAAAGGTCACGGGGGTCTATCACATGGATTAGAAACGGGTGGGCATGAATCAAGCTCTACTCAGTCAAGAAGAGGTAGAGGACAAAAGTGTGGATCTAGCTCTGCAGGTTCAGGGGGCAGTGGGAAGCAAAGTGATGCATGTGGTTACAGCAATTCAGGTGGGTGTGGAAGGCCACAAAATGCTTCTAGTTCTTGTCAGGCAAGCAGATTTGGAAGGCAAGGAAATCAATCTAGCTGTACCCAATCAGGCTGTCAGTCAGGAAGTAGTGGAGGACAAGGTCATGGCTGTGCCTCAGGAAGTCAATCCACTGGATATGGTCAACCTGATCCTTGCTCCTGTAGCCAGTCCTCTAGTCAGAGAGAATATGGATCTAGAGAACAAAATCAACCACTGAACTGTGGAAGACAACAGAGAACAGGCTCAAATCAGCCCTCTGGCTGTGGACAATATGGGTCTGGAGGTAGTCATCCTTGTAGTTATGGTCACTCTTCAAGCTCTTGTCAAAAAGGGTCTAGTTCTGGTCAGTCTTATTGCTATGAACAACATGGAACAGGCTCCAGTCAGTCATGTGGCTTTGGACAAAATGGGTCTGGCTCAGGTCAGACTTGCTGTGGCCAACATAGATCTAGATCAAATCAATGCTCTGGCTATGGTAAGCAAGGGTCTGGCTCAAGTCAGTTGTCTGGCTTTGGACAACACAGATCTGGCTCAGGTCAGACTTGCTGTGGCCAGCAAGGGTCTAGATCAGGACAATGCTCAAACTATGACCAGCATGGGACTAGTTCAGGTCAGTGCTCTGGCTCTGGCCAACAAGGGTTTGGCTCAAGCCAATCCTCTGGCTTTGGCCAACATGGGTCTGGCTCAGGTCAGTCCTCTGGCTTTGGCCAACATGGACCTGGCTCAGGACAGTCCACTGGTTTTGGACAACATGAGTCTACATCAGGTCAGTCTAGCTATGGCCAACATGGGTCTGGTTCAAGTCAATCCTCTGGCTATGGTCAACATGGATCTAGCTCAGGACAGACATCTGGCTTTGGACACCATAGATCTGGATCAGGTCAGTCTTCTGGCTTTGGCCAACATGGATCTGGCTCAGGTCAGTCCTCTGGCTTTGGCCAACATGGATCTGGCTCAGGACAGTCCACTGGTTTTGGACAACATGAGTCTACATCAGGTCAGTCTAGCTATGGCCAACATGGATCTGGCTCAACTCAATCCTCTGGTTATGGTCAACATGGATCTAGCTCAGGACAGACATCTGGCTTTGGACACCATAGATCTGGATCAGGTCAGTCTTCTGGCTTTGGCCAACATGGATCTGGCTCAGGGCAGTCCACTGGCTTTAGACATCATGAGTCTACATCAGGTCAGTCTAGCTACGGCCAACATGGGTCTGGCTCAACTCAATCCTCTGGCTATGGTCAACGTGGATCTAGCTCAGGACAGACATCTGGCTTTGGACACCATAGATCTGGATCAGGTCAGTCTTCTGGCTTTGGTCAACATGGATCTGGCTCAGGGCAGTCCGCTGGTTTTGGACAACATGAGTCTACATCAGGCCAGTCTAGATATGGCCAACATGGGTCTGGCTCAACTCAATCCTCTGGCTTTGGCCAACACGGATCTAGCTCAGGACAGTCCACTGGCTTTGGACATGAGTCTACATCAGGTCAATCTAGCTATGGCCATCATGGATCTGGCTCAGGACAGTCCACTGGCTTTGGCCAACATGGATCTAGTTCAGGACAGACATCTAGCTTTGGACACCATGGGTCTGGATCAGGTCAGTCCTTTGGCTATGGCCAAAATGAATCTACCTCAGGGCAATCCACTGGCTTTGGACATGAGTCTCCATCAGGTCAGTCTAGCTATGGCCACCATGGCTATAGCTCAGGACAGACATCTGGCTTTGGACACCATGGGTCTGGATCAGGTCAGTCCTCTGGCTATGGCCAACATGGATCTACCTCAGGGCAATCCACTGGCTTTGGACATGAGTCTCCATCAGGTCAGTCTAGCTATGGCCACCATGGCTATAGCTCAGGACAGACATCTGGCTTTGGACACCATGGGTCTGGATCAGGTCAGTCCTCTGGCTTTGGCCAACATGGATCTGGCTCAGGGCAGTCCACTGGCTTTGGACACGAGTCTACATCAGGTCAGTCTAGCTATGGCCAACATGGGTCTGGCTCAAGTCAACCCTCTAGCCATGGCCAACATGGGCCTACCTCTGGACAGACCTCTGGTTTTGGACACCATGGGTCTGGATCAGGTCAGTCCTCTGGCTTTGGCCAACATGGATCTGGCTCAGGGCAGTCCACTGGCTTTGGACATCATGAGTCTACATCAGGCCAGTCCAGATATGGCCAACATGGATCTGGCTCAAGTCAATCCTCTGGCTTTGGCCGACATAGATCTGGCTCAGGACAGTCCACTGGCTACGAGCAACATGGATCAGGCTCAAGTCAATCCTCTGGTTATGGCCAAAATGGGTCTGGCTCAGGTCAGTCCTCTGGCTTTGGCCAACATGGATCTAGCTCAGGGCAGTCCACTGGCTTTGGACATGAGTCTACATCAGGTCAGTCTAGCTATGGCCACCATGGGTCTAGCTCAGGACAGACATCTGGCTTTGGACACCATGGGTCTGGATCAGGTCAGTCCTCTGGCTTTGGCCAACATGGATCTGGCTCTGGGCAGTCCACTGGCTTAGGACACGAGTCTACATCAGGTCAGTCTAGGTATGGCCACCATGGGTCTAGTTCAGGACAGACATCTGGCTTTGGACACCATGGGTCTGGATCAGGTCAGTCCTATGGCTCTGGCCAACATGGATCTGGCTCAGGACAGTCCACTGGCTACGAGCAACATGGATCTGGCTCAAGTCAATCCTCTGGTTATGGCCAAAATGGGTCTGGCTCAGGTCAGTCCTCTGGCTTTGGTCAACATGGATCTAGCTCAGGGCAGTCCACTGGCTTTGGACATGAATCTACATCAGGTCAGTCGAGCTATGGCCACCATGGGTCTAGCTCAGGACAGACATCTGGCTTTGGACACCATGGGTCTGGATCAGGTCAGTCCTCTGGCTTTGGCCAACATGGATCTAGCTCAGGGCAGTCCACTGCCTCTGGACATCATGAGTCTACATCAGGCCAGTCTAGATATGGCCAACATGGGTCTGGCTCAAGTCAATCCTCTGGCTATGGCCAATATGGATCTGCCTCAGGACAGACAACTGGCTTTGGACACAATGGGTTTGGATCAGGTCAGTCCTCTGGCTCTGGACAACATGGATCTGGCACTGGGCACTCCACTGGCTTTGGACATGAGTCTACATCAAGTCAGTCTAGCTATGGCCAACATGGGTCTGACTCAAGTCAACCCTCTAGCCATGACCAACATGGGTCTAACTCAGGACAGACCTCTGGCTTTAGACACTATGGATCTGGATCAGGTCAGTCCTCTGGCTTTGGCCGACATGGATCTGGCTCAGGACAGTCCACTGGCTATGAGCAACATGGATCTGGCTCAAGTCAATCCTCTGGCTATGGCCAACATGGGTCTGGCTCAGGTCAGTCCTCTGGCTTTGGCCAACATGGATCTGGCTCAGGACAGACATCTGGCTTTGGACACCATGGGTCTGGATCGGGTCAGTCCTCTGGCTTTGGCCAACATGGATCTGGCTCAGGACAGTCTACTGGCTATGAACAACATGGATCTGGCTCAAGTCAATCCTCTGGTTATGGCCAAAATGGGTCTGGCTCAGGTCAGTCCTCTGGCTTTGGTCAACATGGATCTAGCTCAGGGCAATCCACTGGCTTTGGACATGAGTCTATATCAGGTCAGTCGAGCTATGGTCACCATGGGTCTAGCTCAGGACAGACATCTGGCTTTGGACACCATGGGTCTGGATCAGGTCAGTCCTCTGGCTTTGGCCAACATGGATCTAGCTCAGGGCAGTCCACTGCCTCTGGACATCATGAGTCTACATCAGGCCAGTCTAGATATGGCCAACATGGGTCTGGCTCAAGTCAATCCTCTGGCTATGGCCAATATGGATCTGCCTCAGGACAGACAACTGGCTTTGGACACAATGGGTTTGGATCAGGTCAGTCCTCTGACTTTGGACAACATGGATCTGGCACTGGGCACTCCACTGGCTTTGGACATGAGTCTACATCAAGTCAGTCTAGCTATGGCCAACATGGGTCTGGCTCAAGTCAACCCTCTAGCCATGACCAACATGGGTCTAACTCAGGACAGACCTCTGGTTTTAGACACTATGGGTCTGGATCAGGTCAGTCCTCTGGCTTTGGCCAACATGGATCTGGCTCAGGACAGTCCACCGGCTATGAGCAACATGGATCTGGCTCAAGTCAATCCTCTCACTATGGTGAACATGGGTCTGGACCAGATCAGTCCTCTGGCTTTGGCCAATATGGATCTGGCTCAGGACAGACATCAGGCTTTGGACACCATGGGTCTGGATCAGTTCAGTCCTCTGGCTTTGGCCAACATGGGTCTAGCTCAAGTCAGTCCTCTGGCTTTGGACAACATAGATCAGACTCACGTCAATCCACTGGCTTGGGTCAATATGGAACTAACTCAGGTCAGTCCTCTGGTCATGACAGCACTCATGAGCATAGGCAAAGAGGGCAAAGCTCAAGTCAGGGAGGGAGGGCTTCTCAAGCTGGAGAGTCAAGATCAACTGTTCAAGAGAGACAGGGAAGTACTCATGGGCAGTCAAGAGATACCACTAGACATACCCAATCAGGTCATGGACAGTCCTCACAGTCAGGTTCAAGGACAACTGGAAGAAGGGGATCTAGTCATAGTGAGTCCAGTGACAGTGAAGTACATTCAGGAGTTTCACACAGACACTCAGGACCCACATATGGTCAAGCCAGATCTCAACATGGAGAGTCACAATCCACTGTTCAAGGAAGGCAGGGAACCACTCAGGGGCAGTCAAGAGATACCACTCGACATGCCCAGTCAGGTCAAGGACAATCCACACAGTCAGAGTCCAGGACAACTGGAAGAAGGGGATCTAGCCACAGTGAGTCCAGTGACAGTGAAGTCCATTCAGGAGTCTCACACAGGCACTCAGGACACACTCATGGCCAAGTTGGATATCAACATGGGGAGTCAGGATCCACCGTTCGAGGGAGACAGGGAGCTACTCATGGACAGTCAGGAGATACCACTAGACATGCCCAGTCACGTCACAGACAATCTTCACAGTCAGGGTCAAGCACAAGTGGAATCAAAGGATCTGGACACACACAGTCCAGTGACAGTGATGTGCATTCAGATGTCTCACACAGACACTCAGGATTCACTCATGACCAGGCTGAATCTCAACATGGAGAATCAAGATCCACCATTCATGGGAGACAGGGAACTACTCATGGGCAGTCAGGAGATACCACTAGACATGCCCACTCTGGTCAGAGAGAATCCACACAGTCAGTTTCCAGCCCCACTGAACGAAGCACGTCTAGTCACAGTGAGTCCAGTAACAGTGAAGAACATTCAGGCGTCTCACAGGAACACTCAGTTTCCCCTCATGGACAAATAGATCAAGGGTCAACATCCTCTCATAGACAAACAGAATCCACACAGTCAGGAAGACAGGGACCAAGTTATAGACAGGAAAGAGACAGATCTACACACTCAGAGTCAGTTCATGGGTCAACCACATCTACCCATGGACAATCAGTGTCTGGCAGAAGAGAAAGACATGGATCCAGTCATACACAGCTTCATGATACTCACAGGCAGTCAAGGGATAGCATAAGGAGACATTCAAGCAGTAGTCATGGCCAGTCCAGAGCAAGTCATTTTCAGTCATGTAGTAGTGGAAGACAAAGACATGGGTCAAGTCCAGGTTGGAAACATGGCAGCTATGGGAGCTCAGAATATGACTATGGGCATTTGGCGTATGGACCTTCTGGGGGTAGCAGAGCAAGCAGCCGCAATTCTAGTCCTTCAAGGTCAACAAATAGATCTGCAAACAAGCAAGTGTCTAGACATGGACAATCATTTTCTAGTTCTGACCATATAGCATTCAAAGCAACTGAAAGAACTGAAAAACAAGGTTCAAATCATAGACAATCAGACACACATCATGGGCAATCAATTGATTCCCACAGTCTGTCTGGACCTGGTAAAAGTAGAAGGCAGGGATCTAGTCATGGACATTCTGCAGTAACTCATGAACAGTCAAGTGACACCCATGTTCAACCTGTATATAGCACAGTTAGCAGACAGAGATCTACACAAAGCCAATCTAGTAACCATTCTGGATCTGGCCATGGACAATCTTTATCAGCTTATGGCCTTTCTGAATCTAGAAAGCAGGAATGCCATAGTGATAGCATAAGGTATTCGGAAGATTGGGGAAAACAGACTCATGGACAATCAGAATCTGAGCATGAAAAGTTGGAGTTCAATTCAATAGCTGAATTCAATCAGCAGCATTTGGGAGATACAATTTTACTTGGGCAGGTAAGACCCAACACAAGTTTAGCAAGTCAGGAACCAAATCATAAACAATCGGGAGAAGCCCTGGGTCAAACTGGATTCAGCACCAATGAAAGACAAGTGTATAGCCATGGCCAATCAAGTGACAGCTATAAGCAGTCAAATGACAACAAGAGTCAAAGATACATTTACAGTCACTTTATTGACAGTCAAGACCCTACAGGAATTGAAGAGCATAGATATAGGTATTCATCAAGCAGTACCACTACATGGGGTGGGGGAAGGCAAAGGAAAGAGTTGGGATCAAGTCTGTCAGGAGGCATCAGAAGATACAATCAGGATATGGATGATAAGCAGATAAGAGGCTCTGAGGCCAGAGGTTACCACGGAAAGGAAAGAACAGACTCGGGTTCCTTCTACTTAGACAGCAACACTCCACTCTACGAATATGTCCAAGAACAAAGGTGCTATTACTTTGAATAAGAAACCAATAGAAAACAAACTAGCCCAAGATCAGAACTAATCCAAAGAAGAAATGAGATGCACACATGAAATGAAGATATTTAGTATGAATGCTTATTTAACATGATTGCTTCTTTTGGTAGTAGGGATATATGTCTATTCTTTCATTTTAACTGTAATACTGTACATTATTACTTTTGTTTGGTGCTAGGGTTTTTGTAAGGCTCCACATTCATTGAGCTCCTTGGTTAGAAAATAGTGAATGGAAGAAAATAGTATTTGGGACTATATTCATTGTGTGTGTGTGTGTGTGTGTGTGTGTGTGTGTGGAGAGAGAGAGAGAGAGAAAGACATATTATAACTATAGTTATTTGGGTGGTTTGGATTAAAATAAATATTTTTTTTTAATTTGAAATGTTCAAATTTTGGTTTAATTGCTGATAAACCTATCCAGGGAGCTAAAAGACATGGAGCCAGAATTTCTCTAGTAACATTGTAACACATTCCATCTCCTAAGCAAAGAATGTTGTGGTAGTTTCCTAGGTGAATATTCAGAATACTTGCATTTTTTTGTTACCACTGAAACTCTGTACTACTATTTATTAATTTATTGTCATGACTTTCTGGATATAGGATTCAAAAAGTTGTAGTCCATAAAAATTGGCAATAAAGGCTGAGGCGGAAGGATTGCCTAAGCCCAGCAAGTCGAGGCTTTGGTGGCCATGAGTGTGCCACTGTACTCCAGTCTGGGCGACAAAGAGTAAGACTACAACTCAAAAAAATATAAATAATAAATATTGACAAGAAACTTTTCACCAAAGTACAATTTCTCTTCTCCTTCAGTTCCACAAACATAGTTCTTTGCCATGGGATCAGATGCACATTTTTCTCTTACTTCTGCACAGCTAGATGGCAGTGAAGCACTCAGATACCAATAATAAGGAGCCCCAAGAAGGCAAAATTGAACTACATCTGATCTTTCCCTCAATCTAATCATTGTCCAAAGCATTTTCAGAAAGAAAGGCTTTATAGTGATACTGATGTATTGGTGACTTCGGATGTTCTGGTTAATCATGATTATCACAAGAATAATTATCAAACATAATCCCAAGTGTCTATTTCCTAAGACAATCCAAATTCTGGAAATAAGAATTATGCACAATGGAATTTCTTGCCAAGTATATTAATTGAAATATATCACTGTAGGTTAATGGGAATGGAGGCTAATGGCATCCTGAAGCCTCCAGTGGAAGAAAAATAATTAAAAATATATTCCTGCCTAGGAAAAGAAAATACATGAATTTATTATGAATAATGAGAGAAGTAACATGGAGTAGAAAAATATGTACAAAGGGTACTATCTTCAGTAAAAAGTTGAATACTATAAAACCCAAAGGAAATGTCTAAAATGTCAGAGCTAGTAAGGACTTTAAAAATCACCTCCTTTATTAACAGATTAAAATGTAAAAAAGCCAAGCAAATAATATCTAATCAAAACATGACAATTTCCTCAACCAAAATTTGATATTCTACTATCCTCTCTTTGTCCCCAAATTAAGCACTTTTCATCTACCTTCACTTTTGGAATTCATACTAAAGTGAAATTCATCAGTGGATATTCCAAATCACAAGCCCCAGCTGGGTGCATTGGCTCACATCTGTAATGCCAGCACTTTAGGAGGCAAAGTCTAGAGGATTGCTTGAGACCAGGAGTTCGAAACCAGCCTAAAAACATAATGAGACCCCATCTCTACAAAGAAAAAATAGTTTAATTAGTCATCTGTGGCGACACATGCCTAGTCCTAGCTACTCGGGAGGGTGAAGCAGGAGGATTGCTTGAGCCCATAAGTTTGTGGTTGCAGAGCTATAATCAGAATATTGAGAGCTAAAGCTCTCAATAATTTGTTTTAATCAAATTAGGGGCAAATGTTCAGTATAAACTACACCAAAAGTACTAAAATAACTCAAGAAGAGTTTTACATTTTCCTTCTAAGATAAAAGAAAAGATTAAAATGAGATAGCAGGTATGGTCTCAAGAAAAAAGGTATAATCCCAGCAATTTGGGAGACCGAGATAAGAGTACTGCTTGAGCCCATGGGTTCGAGACCAGCATGGGCAACTTGGCAAAACCTCATCTCTACAAAAAATCAAAAAAGTAGCCGGGTGTGATGGCAAGCTCCTGTAGTTCCAGTCAGTTGGAAGGCTGAGGGGGAAGGATTGTCTGAGCCTAGCAGGTCGAGGCTGTGGTGGCCATAAGCAGCGTGCCACTGCACTCCAGCCTGGGTGATGGAGTGAGATTCCAACTCAAAAAGAAAAAAGGTTAGAAACTGGGGTGCCCCCATGTGGAATCCCTGTGAACAATTGAATGTCTTAGATGCTATTCTTCTGTTCTCAGTCTGAGCAGCAGAGCTAAACCCCCCTACTGGAAGCAGAAGCTATGTGAAAAAGGCTAATTCTGATTAAATTTGGTACATATCTACATCGTTTTTAATTTTTTATTTTAAGGACTGTACTTATGAACATGCTATGTGATCAGGAGAACACTAGTCATATTAGTTTACCAGTGAGAGGAAATAAAATAATTGTTATACTATTAATTATATACAGAAAAATTATTGTGTATATGGTAGTGAACTTTAAATACCAATTCATACAAATCTACCAATCACCATCTATTCATTGAATAACTGATTATTAATAAAGAGTCATTAGAATTTTAAATCTTATATTTATTTCATGCAAACAATTTCTATTGTAGGTAAAGTAAATAGGACTCAAAGAGATGAACTTGCCCATACCATGCAGCTAGTTAGAAGGGTTGTTGGGGGTGGGGTTGGCAGTAGTGGGAAGCTGCCAGGGAAGGGGAGGGCACACCTCACCAACAAGAGTACCTGCAAAATGAACATTTGTATACCCAACCCTGGATTGTACCCCACATCTTTAAAATAAATAAAAAAATTTTAAAGGTTGCTGGACCAGGTAAAGGTTTCTAATTTTTAAGCCAAAGCACTTTCTATTCTGCCAGAGGGTCTGCACTCATTCCATACATCTATAATTCCACATTCTTTATTCTCTAAGTATACATTTAAGAATGTACCCCGAATCTAAAAAAAAGAATGTTTAAAATTTCACTGTTAATTTGCTTTTGTTGTGCGTATACGTAAACATATAGGTCATATATTTATGAGAGACCCCATAATATCTTGACCACACCTATTTGAAGTTTAAACATATTCCAGACTATTAAAGCTCTCAATAATTTGTTTTAACCAAATTGAGGGCAATTGTTTCATATAAATGACACCAAATGTACTAAAATAACTCAAAGAGAGTTATACATTTCCCTTCTAAGATAAAAGAAAAAATAAAAATGAAACAGCAGGTATGTTCTGCAAGAAAAAAGGTTAGAAAGTGTAGTGCCCCATGGGAAACCCCTGTGAGTAGTTGAATTTATGAGATGCTATTCTCCTGGAAAGAGAGAAGAGTCATAGGTAAGTACAGTTAGAGATTTACCTTCTACTACCACCTTTGTGCCAGCTTTCTATAGATAAAGCATTTTCATGCCAAGGAACATCCAGTGATGTCAAAGCATGAGTAGGACTGACAGGGAGAGAAGCACATGACACCAAGGAGAAACTGAGTGGCCAAAATGGGAGGAAAAAAAGATGAAATTCCTCTTCCTCCAAACTTTCTAGAGAAAGGTGATCTTTGGATAAGGGAAATCGAAGATCAGTTTGTATCAGACACACTGAATGCGCTGGTTGTTTTTGTTGTTGTTTGTTTGTTTGTTTATTCTTTTTATTATAAAGATGTGGAGTACAACTCAGGGTTAGGTATACAAACACTAATTATGCCGATACCCTTGTTGATGAGGTGTGCCCTTACCTCCCCTAGCAGTTTCCCTCAACTGCCAATCTCACCCCCCTCCCATGACAGTTTCCCACTACTGCCAATCCCTTTCTTATAGTATTATAATTGTCCAAGGTCTGCTTATGAGTGAGAACATATTATACTCTGTTCTTTGTTTCTGTGATAGATCACTGAGTATGGTCGACTCTAAATCCATCCAAGTTGCTGGGGAGTCCATATGTTTGTCTTTCTTTATGGCTGCATAATATTCCATTGTGTATATGTACCACATTTTTTTAATCCAGCCCAGCTTCGATGGGCAACATGGTTGGTTCCATGTTTTTGGTATTGTGAATAGAGCTGCAACAAATATACGTGAATGCACAGGTTGTTTTGAGAACACCTTCTAATACTACACACTGAATGCAACCTGTGTCACGCACTCTAACACAACCAAAGGTGAATATGTAAACTGTGGGGAAAATGAGCAAGAGAAAGCAGAAAAACAGAAAGGAGTGAAGATTGAGGTAATGCTGGATTGGACTGGAAATTAATCAAGCCAGCAAAAAGAGGGCAGCTTCCTCTCTAATAATGAACTATTTGACACAATTAAAAGACTATTAACCCAGACTCTGAAACCTGTTTTAAGCAACATCTTACCGAATCTTTGGGAAACATGGTAAGTGAAAGTTAGTGAAGCTCTGCTTAAAAGTACACAGAGTTGCCAGTAGAAATTCACAGGTATATGTTTTGTATTCTAAAGGCATCTAGCACAAAAAAGTATGAAATTTGCAAGAGAAAATGTGCCCATTTCCTAAAGATTATTTATACTGGGGGTGCCAAAAATGTATACACATTTTAAGAGTTGTTATCTCTGTATTATTTTTCAAAGCTGAATTGTATCATGTAGCAATGTGTAGTATAACGTTCCCTCAAAAGATGGCATTAATCAAATTAATACTAGAGTCACCATGCTAGACAGGCAAGACAATCAAAGAAAATGGTGGAAGCTCAGTTATCATTCAAGGAGCACAAGACTATTTTGAAGAGGTATCTGACTTCTATCTGTGGGGGACCTTAAGGGATGTGGTGTATGGTAGAAAACTGGCTACATTGGTGGTACTTCAGGAAGACATTGAAACAACATGCACAGTGATACAAGTGGACACTTT